GCAAACACTAAGTCAATTCATGCAACATCCAAAAAGATCTCATTGGGAAGCAGCTATTAGGGTGGTGAGATATCTGAAAGGAACAGTTGGTCAGGGCATATGGCTAAAGGCTCAATCAGCCACAACATTAACATGTTGGTGTGATTCAGATTGGGCTGCATGTCCTAACACTAGGAGGTCAGTAACAGGCTACATAGTAAAGTTTGGAGATTTTTTAGTATCCTGGAAGTCCAAGAAACAGCAGACAGTGTCTAGAAGTTCAGCTGAAGCTGAATACAGAAGCATGGCTTCAGCAGTGGCAGAAGTAACATGGTTGATAGGCTTATTCAATGAGCTCAATGTGTTAATACAAAGGCCAATAAAAGTATGGAGTGATAGCAAATCTGCTATTCAATTAGCTGTGAATCCTGTGTTTCATGAAAGAACCAAGCACATCGAGATAGATTGTCATTTTATTAGAGATAAAGTTAAGAATGGGTTGATCCAAACTGAGTATGTACACACACACCAACAAGTTGCTGATCTGTTAACCAAAGGATTGAGTCAAGCTCAACATGTTCATCTGTTAGGCAAGCTAGGTGTGCTCAACATCCTGCACCCCTCAGCTTGAGGGGGAGTGTTAACTTTCCCATTTTCAGTTAATTCAGTTAGTTTGTTAGCATGTTCACGTGGTTAGTTAGGATTGCATTCTGTTAGTTAGTGTGTGTGTATGTGTATGTGTGTGGAAAGTGTGAGTGGAAGATAGAGGTTGTTACTGCATTTCTGTGTATATATACACCATTTGCAGCATCTGTATGGGAACAGTTTTCACAAGAATAACATTCCTTCTTCTTCAATTCTTCTTCTTTTTCAATTCGACTTGTTCTTAGAAGCATCAATGAAGCAATTTCAAGCTTCCAGATAGAGTTTTTTCAACTAATATCTCTTTTTCAATATGTTTATATATTTTTCCTTTGAGCCGAAAGGTTATAGAAAACAATCCTCTATCTACCTGTATGTTTTATACTCTCCAAATATTATTTATTGGATTATCTTAAATATGCTGCTAGTATTATTATTAAAAGATATGTGATATACATGAAGATTAAAAAGAAAAATATAAATGTTGATCGATAAATTAAAGTATGATATTTATTAATCTACAAGAAGTATTCTAGAGTTACAATTGCTTAAACAGAACATTATTCAGCAGAATACTTACTACCCAGAGGAGAAGATGAAATTTTTCACAGGCGACTCTTTTGCCTTACTGGTGCAGGCTTGAAACTAGCCAAACCAGTAATTTCTCTACCCGTTACCAACGTGTTGATATCGTAAGTACCTTCAAATGTATAGATCGGCTCCAAATCGCAAAATGCCTATACGATCAACATAGAAACGGATGCACCATGAGACCATACAACAACAAGAACATATCCAGTGAAATTCCACTAAGTGGGGTCTGGGGAGGGTAGTATGTACGTAGGCCTTTAACAATACTTCGCGGAAGTAGAGAGGTTGTTTCCCAGTGATAACATGAGACTAAAGTAACAAAAATGAAAATCTACTTAGTAAGAAATGGATATTGTTAACAAACCTTTGCGACGTGAAAGTCAGCCAAGATTCCGTTGCCACCTAGTAGTTCTCGTCCGAGAGCAACGGTCTCTCTTGCCCTCAACGTAATCCATGACTGAATCACGAATAGTTTGTTACTGATCAGTCTAAAAAGGGCATGTTACAACTTTTAAAATCTGAAGGGAAAGGGACTTACTTTCCCTAAACTTGCGTGACCATGAGTCAGTTTATCACTCTCGTGTAGTTTGCATAGCCGCCAACCAACAAGAATCATTGCTTGAATGTTGCTCAACATCTGGACTAATTTCTGTTGGTTGATCTGGAAAGCGGCTAATGGTGCTCCAAACTGCTTCCTCTCCTTCAAGTACCTTAGAGTTTCAGACAGAATTTAGCGATGGAAAAGGGAACTTAAAAAGACGAGATTGTAAAATGCGCGTACAAGTTCTTACAGTGGGCAATAACACAGTAACTATCTTATGATAAACAAAGACTGATGAGCTTATCTATTGTTACCTGTGACACATATCATAAACACCCATTGTAATGCCAATAGGCTGCCATGCAACCATAACACGCGATACAGCAAGCACCTGTTCGAGGGAAGAATAAGATAACAAAACAATAATTCAGCTACTTCAAAAAACAATCAGCAACAGCAAACCGACGACTTCAAAAGAAACAATAATAGGTGGTGAATTTCAGTCTGTTAGTCACTTTCTTTCCTCACAGAACGAAAATTGTTTAGCTGAAGGTTGATGAATGAACAAACAACCAAACAGATAATGATTAAACATTGATAGCAAATAGAACAGTCCATCCATATTGCCGTACCTTGTTTGTATCCTGGAATGAATTGACCCCAGGTAGTCTATCCTCGTCAGGGACAAAAACATTCTTTAAGAGAATGTCTCCATTTTGAACAATCCGTAGTCCAATTTTGTTTTCTATTTTAGTACATTGCAATCCTGGAGCATCCTTCTTTACTATGAAACTGAGATAAAGGCAAACATCAATTGTAAGAAACAAACTAAGATGGTCAAGAGGGCGGATGAAAGTGAAGGTACACATTATTTATATAAAACTATGACATAAGAGTCATTTTTCTATATCGATAATGGTATCGAGCAAGTTTTAACCAAACAATGGATTTCAACACGTCATTTGTCCAAAACTGATAGTGAAAATATCAAGGTAGTGAAAGCTCAAGAAATTAGCCGACTTAGAAGATTAACCAAGCCTATAGATATTTTGCATAATCATAAGTTAACAATGCAACTGGTGAAAGATGGCGCTGAATAGGATTATATAGAAGCAGAATGTTGTAACTCACCCGTTTATCTGGTTTGTGGATGTATTTCTAGCAAAAATAACCAATATGTCGGCAAAAGTGCTGTTTCCTATCCAACGCTTTTGCCCTTCAAGGATCCAACCTCCTTCAACCTATCAGGAAGATAACAGATTTTACAGAAGAACATTTAGCAATCTTTCCCAAATTAAAATGGAATAAGTTTAAAACTAAAGTTAAAATGCAGAATCTAGACCTTTCTGGCAGTAGTCCCCAATCCACTTGCATCACTTCCATAGTCAGGCTCAGTTAGACCCTAACTCCAAAGTGGCAGCGATTACAAACTAATATTTGGTAACACAGACACAAATAAAGAAATGAACCAAGAAAAAAAAGTTCTCACCCAACAAGCTACAGTGTCAAATTCCGCCAATGATGGCAAGTATTTTTCCTTTTGCATTTCAGACCCACATAGCCCTATTCTTGACAGACCAACATGGTGTAATTAGTTCACTTCATATCGACAGAAATTGTATATCTCAGAGAAGCCCTCATTGAGTTAGTAGTAATGATATGCTTTCATCATCGAAAACAAAGAACATCTCCCATCAAAAGATCAGTCAACGAATACCACTGGTAAATATCACATTACTTCTACCAAAAACAATGTTTCAACCATGCCGGAATTTCAAAAGAAGCAAAAAGGATACCAGAAGCAATTTCAGACAATGACGAGACTTACCAATAGTGAGCATTGCTAAAGATGAATGCACCAAAAGGAATGTAGAGCAGCTTGCATCAACTCTGGCAACTTCGGCTGCAGCAACAGCACTTCCAGTTATTGAGTGACCTGGGCAACCATATCCCTGAAGCCAAAGAAAGTCAGTAGATTCCTCATGGACACGATAGATGACTTTATATAGAAATTTGTCAAGTTCTAAAAACACCTTGATAGTGCCGCCAGCTATGTGCAAAGCACCAAATTTTGGAATGATTTCAAATGGAAATTCTGCCTTCTCCCAATACTGTTCAAAAACATTAACAAGTTCACTTTTAAGCGCGTCTACAACAGTAAACATTTCCTCAGAAGATTAGAGACTTAGCATTAATGATTAATCTTTGTTTTCTACTCAGAACATTAGCTACTACTGTAATAATGAAATCCAAAATAATATCAACATGTTTAACAATTACAGAGATCAGGAGAAATACCTTCGTCATTATAGGAGCAATCTCTTTCTCCATGCATTCCCTCACTTTCATTCTGATGGCTTGCTCCTCAGGAGTCAACAGATCGGCAAGCTGATAGTAGTCTGAAGCTGTAAAATTTAAATTACAGTCAGCAGAATTACAATGGTAGCAGATTGTAGCAAAGGATACCAAGGATGTATTTCGATTTTTCCTCTAATGTGCAAGTTAACTGTAGAAATAGCACGCCCATAAAGTATTAGTAAAAGTGCAATCTGGGAAAATGTTGAATGGCGTCAATCAAAATCAAATGCATGAAAATAAGCACATCAAACGATTTATCGAGTTCTTGAAAAAGAGTGGACACTCTGTATATTCGAGTTAATAATAGAGTAAGTAAAACATAAAAATGGAATCAGGTATCAATCTTACTGCATGGAGGAAAGTTGGAGGCTGGAGTTGCTTGAGGAAATGCAACAGAAACATCCAATGCTGGCATATCAAAATAAGAGCTTTTCGCCTCTTTATGCATTTTCGCTGCAGCATGATCAATGTTAGTCCTCATTCAAATGAGTCAAATAAGAAAACTACTTGCAAAATCAAAACTCATACGAAGAAACAGAGCACTTTGCCTCGTTGTACTCTTCGTCCTTTGTAATGAAGTCACAATAAGACTAATCAAGGTTACTATGGGATAGAGTTGAGAATTCAACAACTACAACATACCCTATATAATCCCACAAATGAGGTCCGAGAGACCTTACCCCTAACTTCGTGAGATAGACAGAGATATGATTTCTGATAGACTCTCAGCTCGGATAGAGTTTAGAATGACGATTAAATTTAACAACTATATAGACTACTAAATTGATCTGTGAGATTATAGTTTACATATAATTGAGCAGAATTACACTAACAGTCTAATTAAATCAGCCTCAATGCAAAAGCTTAAAACAAATGAAGTAAGATCAAACATGTTTATCCAAATTTCAAAATTCAACAAATATCTTAATTTTTAACCAATCAAAGATTCAACGTGTAATGAACTTATTCAAGAAAAATAATAGTATAAACCTTTTCTTTTCATCAAAACACACTGCAGTCGTTGTCAATTGACAGCCCTTTATGCAAAAGAAGAAGAAAAAAAAAAAGATAATTCCAATTTATAATTTTCATATAGTTATTTAATAACCGAGTTTAAAATATCAAATTAATGTAATCTAACCTAATTATTAAAATTCGTTAAATCGACTTTCGAAAAACAATTAAAAATTAAACCGAAGGAGTTTTATTTCTTCTTTTCTCGATGATTCCATCAAATTATCCATGAGAATAGCCACAGAAAAATAATGATATTTCAGTAGTGATATCAAAAGTATAATTCTTTACCCTTTTTCCTAATAATATATTCTATTTCCGACACAAATCATAAATGAAATTAAACTTTTTTTTATTAATTTTCTGTTTATCTGATCCATTCTAAATACACCTCTGAAGCAAACAAACTAAAAGAAAAAATTACGCACCTGGGTTTCGAATGATTAAGAATTTCACGAAGAAAAATAAATCTCTGTGTTTGTGTATCGAAGAAGTATAAACGAACAAAGAGGAAAAAAGAAGTGGATTATATGGCACTTACTTCTAGGTGAGTTTAAACAGGTCAGCAATATTATTAGTATTTTTCTTAAGGGTTACTATCTGTGATCAAATAATTTTGGCCAAACTCGCAAATTTCTAAATTTATTGAGTTTTTCCTTTTTTATATCTTTTAATTATGTCATTTTTGTATTGTTTGCGATTTTGATCAATTTTTCTATTATAAATGTTTTTAATAATGTTCGTATTGTAATGATTTTGATTGAAGGAACGAATACAAATTATGACTTAGGGTGTGTTTGGTATGAAGGAAAATGTTTTCCATGGAAAATGTTTTCTAGGAAAACAAGTAGATTTTGAATTTATTTTCTCATGTTTGATTGGTGCACAGAAAATATTTTCTGAAAATGATTTTTAGTGTTTAATTTATGAATGAAAAATGTTTTTTGAGGAACATCTTTTATTTTTACTACAGTAGAAAATAATTTATGAAATTGAAAATATTTTTTAAAAATATTTTTTTTTGGGTAGTGGTGGTGGGGGTGTGGGGGGATAGTGGAGGTGGGGACAGGGGGGACAGGGGGAGGGGGTAGAAGTGAAAAAATAAAAATTTGAAATTGATAGTATTTTTAAAAAGCAAAAATAATTTTTTGGGAGTTGGGGTTGGGGGTTGAGGGGGCTGGTGGGGGGGGAGTAGGGGGAGGTAGGAGTTTAAAAATAAAAATTTAAAGTTGAAACCTATTTTTAAAAAGCAAAATTAATTTTTTGGAGAGGGTGGTTGGGGGGAGGGGAAGTGGTTAGGGATC